AGCAAGTGCACACCCCAGAAAGTAAAATAATCAGCAGTTCTGTCCCAGACAAGGCCTAGAACCTTAGTTATTTCGTGTGATTGAATAGGCGTGTTCTTGCACGTTCTCTCATTACCGCCTTCTTGCTGATCAAAGGCTTGCTGGAGGTAAGGACAATTTGTGCTCCATTTGCGAAGCTCATTTCCAGCCTCCTGGAGGAGCCTTTTCGCACAGCTTGCGAGATTCGTGGCTTCTTCCGCGCTTGCCGCTCCTCTCAGCATGTCATCAACGTAGAACGAGCGAAGTAGAGTATCTGCGATGGGTTTCCTCTGGTCCCTCGCAGATTCCAGGTGATGGCGTAGTGTCGCTGCAACTATAAATGGGCTCGCAGTTGTCCCAAAAGTTACTCTTGTCATTCGCCATTCCTCTATGACAGGCAGTGGCTCGTGCGGTCGAGGTGCGCTGGAGAACCATAGGAAGCGAAGGGCATTCCTGTCTGCTTTAGCAATGGCTATCTACAGGAAGGCCTTCTGCATGTCGGCAGTGACCGCCACTTTTTGCATTCGGAACCGGAGCAGCACTGGCAGGTGTTCCGTGTTCATCCTCGGGCCCGTCTCAAGGTGGACGTTCAGGGATCTAGTGTTTGGTCCGTGAGCTGAGGCGTCGAAGACGACTCGAAGCTTCGTTGTCGCTGAGTCCGCTCGAACAACTGCTTGATGAGGCATGTAGTAGACGGGTCCACTGTTCTGGCTGTCCTCTTCGACTCTTTCTGCATGCCAATCAACCATATACCGTCTAATTGCCTCGTCGTACTCTGTAACAGTGCCATCCCGCTTCAGTCGTCTGATCAGGCTGTGTAGTCTTTTGTGGGCTACATCACAGTTGTTTTCCAGGACTGGTGAGATGTCCTTCCAGGGGAGAGCGAGTTGATAGCGCCCTCTTTTCATCGTGATGTTTTCGTTGAAGTGTTCGATTACGTTCTTATGGTCCTGCATTGTAGTCGTTGGCTCATCCACGATGCCAAGGCTGCCTAATTCGCAAAACTTTTGCAAAGCAATGGAATCATCTTCGTGACTAGCCCTAACGCTGAGAGCACACTCATCTGTATTCATAGACCATGATAGCACCTGCGCTGCGCTGGTCGGCCCTTGGGAGGTCCATCCTTCCAAGGGCCGACCAAGGGCACAGTTGAAATGGCCATTGAGTTGGCAATTTCAGCGCGTCGTATCTCTCCCGTGAAAAGTCGCCACATCTGGTCAGCCCCTATCAGAAGGCTTATACCAGCTTCTGATTTCACTGAGGGGAACATCAACTCGTCCGCGAGTTCGCCTGAGATGGTTCGTAGAAACGAGTGGTGGGCCGATGTTTCTGCAAGCTCCTTGCATACGAACGGGACAACCACGGCCTCTAATATATGGCTCGCCGTAGCGTACTGGCTTCGCAGATGGAGACGCACGACCTTTAATCGTTGGCTGGGAATGTTTGTTTCTGTGATTGCAGAGGTGTTAACTTTTAAGTCGAAGTACCCTATAGTCTCCAGTTAAAACTTTGTGCCACATCGTCTCGGATGAATGTTGTCTGGCTTCTCCCATCTACGATGCCGCGGATGTATGCAGATTTCTTGACAGTCACAATCCAGCCCCTGAAAATCTGCGAAAGAATGCCGTTGCCGCCTGGTGGAGATGTGGAACCTGCGGTTAAAACGTCGGTGGCCTCTCCGCTCTCTGCCGGAGCTCCACGATGAGGTGAGTTTGGCCGCCACTCTGGGTTGCACATAGAGACGGCATGTCTCCCGCTGCACTTGGTACATCGAGCCTTGGTGCGACAATCCTTAGAGCGATGGCCTCTTTTCGTGCATCGGAAACATCGGCTATCCTGTGCAAGCCGCATTTTCTTCTCATCTAAGGAGCTCCCGGAAGAACATGTGCTGGCAGCGTGATCCTCCTTTCCACAAAAGAAAGAAGTCTCATCTAGATGACTTGAGTTTTGCAGCACCATTGTTGAAGGAATTGAGATAGTCTGTCAATGGACGCTGGTCACGTGAGGACCGCTCGCGGCTCTCGATTTCCACTCGTAGAAATTGTAGCAGCTTAGCCAGCTCTTCTCCCATATTCCTCGATGTATCAACCATAGCCTCACAACCTGTCGCACTACTGGAATTGGCTGCAGCCTGTTCAGGAAGACTAGGAGGAACGAGTTGTGGCATATAGCTCTTGATGCGGTAGTACTCCACTACGATGTGTGATGGCAAGCCGGTCAGATGTATATCAAACAGCATAGTTGCGTATGCATCACTCGAAATACCAAGGGAACGCAAGCCAGGGATGTTTGTTTGCACCGAATCGTAGACGTTCCGTAGTCCCTGTACGTCGCGCTCAGACTTCACAGCTGGTAGCTTGCGCAGTCTTCCCAGATATTCGCGTTCGATTCGCTGTTTATCACCGAAACGCTCAGCCAGCATCTCTACCGCATCTTGGTAACATTCCGCAGTGGCTTGTAGTCCAGAAATCATACTGGCTGCTGGTCCTACGAGAAGCGAGCGCAAGTACTGGAACTTCTCCGGCTCAGAAAGACGTGTGTTGCGGTGTACGGCGACGTCGAATTGCTTCCAAAATGGCTGCCATTTTGTAAGCTCACCTTGGAACTGCAACAGTTGTAGTTTCGGGAGCTTCACTCCAGTCAAGTGGGAGCTGCTGCCTTTGTCGCCTCCGGATCGTGGCGGTTGCGGTGTCGTCTGTGTTCCCACCTTACTGACAATCCTTGCGACCTCGTCCTCGAAGTCAGCCACGGTGTTGTCGTCCTCCAAGTCGTTGTCGTCGATGAGGGGCTCTATCTCCTCGTTAACGTTTCGAAGCTCGTCGTTGCTAGCGAGCAGTCTGTCCCGCAAACTTTCAAGTCTCTTGGAGTCCATGGGGTCCGACTCTAGCGCAGCTCGTATCTCATTTATGAGCTCTGTGTTCCGGCTGCGTCGAACCGCTCGTTTCTTCTTTAGTCGATCCATATTCACCAATGCGGCGTAGAACTTTGTTCAACTCCCGGGTTTCGGCACCCAATTTTGCGCCTTGAGAGCGCTCGTAGGGGAAAGGAACAGGACGACCCAGCTCTGGTGAACGATTGACTTCCACTTCCTCCTTTTCTCCTTTTTACGCTCTCATGCCCGCGCGCTATGAAGGATCGTTTAAACCTTAATTTTTAACAATACGTACGTGGAAATCGTTTTTGGACACGCTCTAACGTCGCTGCAGCAGTGGCACTAAGGTTGTTCCAAACAACTGAAACAGTCTACGTTGGGCAAAATAAGGCTTTTGTACAATACAAAAAAACTAAAAAAACATAAAAGCTCGCGAAACACAGAAATAAGGCGAGTAACCATGCCCAACGCTTTAAAAACGACATTCTGTCAGAACCAAAAATGCTAGAGCTTTGTACACATTGCAATGCTAGAGCATCGTACATTCGAAGTTACTTCTGTCCTGTTTTATCAATGGCTGTCATTCACAAATTTCTTTCCCTCTTTTTAGGATGGTTGACATAAAAAAGATTCATCGAAGTGAACGTTTTCCTTCTACGTGAAAGCTTTTCGACGCGAATCTTCTGAGGTCAACCTTGCCATTCCCAGCGCTGCTGTGACGTGCTTTGACCAGAATTGCTTCGCACGCCTGGTTGAAACCTCGGCGCACTGTGCCAGTAGGTTGAGCGAAAATTCTCGACCAAGTTTCCAAGCATGATATGCTCAGGGAGGCTAAGGGACGAATTCTCGGCGGAGGTCTAAACACGACTCCACGGAGATTCGTGCGAGCGTAAAGAAAAAATCAAACAGTCAAAAGTGAAAAGGTAGTAAGACAAGCTAGAAATTGAATTCGGTTGAAATAGCTTTGAAGATTAGTTTCTGCCCATTAGTCAAAACTAAATAGCTTAGACTTCCCAGCTTATATCTCCTGCTTCGCGTGTTCTGAATTATGACACAATGTGCGTCAAGATTTTGCCAAGTCTTTCTTCAGACGGAAGAGGTGCCAGCTTCAGATGTTCACGGCTGTCAGCTTAGAGTAATTCTCGATTAATCCACGAATAATGAATGTACTTGCTGGGAAAGTGGACAGAAGTGCAGACCCACTTTGGTGCGCAAAATGTGTGCCATTTTTACAGCACAGGGAAAGTTAGCCTCTAGATTGTGAACTTAGCCACCGAGAGCTGCACAAGGATAATCCTGATTGCTTTATTTTAAATAAAATGGGCTGATAGTATGGCTACATTAACTTCTCGAAACAATTTAAAAATGTATTGCTAATATTTCCTGAAGTAAATTAATCTAAGATGGTAACAGCCGATAGCATATGTATGGGCATACAGGCACATGGTATTTATTAAGCAAGATTTACAATGAATCAGAAGATTATAGGCTCCATATTTGGCACCATAAGGTTCGATGTTTTTTTTTGTTTTTTTTTTTAATTTCTGGCCTGAAATATGTTTAAGTGTTCGGCAAACGAGAAAAAAAATTCTATGCAAATTATTGGAAAAGATTAATCACTGTGAGTGATTTCCTTTTACCCTTTCATAACAAGTCCCAGAACTGAGCAAAAAAACAGCCTAAACGTAGCGCTTTTACTAGCTCCAGTCCAATTTTTTTGTAAACAATTAAAAAAAAACGGAGTGGCTTTGTAAATTAGCGAGATGGGGCTAAGTGTATATTTTTGAGATAATCGAAATACCCACCTCGACACGCCTGCTCGATTTCAAATAAAACCACACTACAAAAACAAAGATCCTAAACAAATATCTCATAGTGCGTCTAATAAATCCAAATCTATTGTAAAAAAACTTTCAAGAACGCCAGAATTTCCCGTTGACCATTAAATAACACTCTATATGCTCTTTTAGCATTTTCATTTAGTTTTTTGGTGCCCTTTAGCGCCAGAAAATAAAAATCTCAATGCTGGAGGTCAATTCATTGAACTACCAGGATGTTCATTTTCTATAAAAGCTCACGGTAAAACAGCTAACACCTCGTAGAGAAGAAAATGATGCGGTATATTTTTCTATGCGCTTTGTCGGCTTTAATTCAAAATGCCACTGCGAGAGGTATGTCTATTTTTGACTACTACTCATTGGTTTGTTTCTGACAAACCACTTGCTGTTGTAAGTTTAGTTGATATTTTATATACTAGTGCATATACACGCTTCTGCATTTGTCACGCTAATGCCACAGAACCACCATTACGCTTTGTGCCCCCACTATGTTTTTGGAACTGAATACAAAATATTATACGCTATGACAGCATGTTTTAAATTTTTTATGCTGACAGCTTTTGGTGTCTTTTTAGATCGTGTATGACATTTTCAGTAATCTGAGTTTCAAGATCGTAATAAGGTGGGTACTTACATAAAGACACGAATGTTTGTTAGCGAGACAACCATGATTTCTATGAGACTTTCAAACCTATCCAAGGTGTAACTTGTTGCACAGCATACCACCCGCAAATATTCGTCAACGCGTAGCTTTAGCTATGCGTCGACGTAACTTAGTCAAACATAGTCACGGGATGCCTTGTGAACAGACCCTTACGTGCTAGCTAGCATGTTGCACTATAATGAACAAATAAGGGCATAAAACTAAAACCTAAGCTGTTTAGTATCTGTTCGAAGACGAAAGTACCATTTTTCTAGTATTGACAAAACCGAAAAAGCAACTTTCGACAGTCGAATCAATGAAGTCGAGCAGTGAATATGAGATCACGTCAGCACCATCATATAACAAGGTTGTCGTACTAATTTTTTCTCATCACTTCCTCTGGGCGGGTGCAAAACCGGTTTGGCAGAGCGGTTGCGTCGGCGTTCAGCTGGTACACGTGTTCCATTATCGGTTTCATCTCTGCTTCACGACGGCTTTTGGTGGGTGGTGTAGAAAATTCAAGTCTACGGTTTCGCTATCTAAGAGCTGTTAGCGATGTTCAAAAATGTTATGTGAGCTTGGTTTTAATAACCACAAACTAAAACACCATTGGTCATTACCGTAATTAGAGCGTCAATAATAATCTATCTGGAGGCACTGTGAACTTCGTGTTTTCCAAAAGTGTCGGTTTTTATTTCATTTATGGAAGTGCTCTAACAATTTGTTACCCTTCAGTAATTTTCAGATAGTAGTTTTTTTTCATCGTTTGCCGCATATAGATATCACAAAATAAGGGTGGTTTATTACACGCTAAGACTTTTAGTGATATTGCGGATATTACAGAGACCTATAAGAGTCAACAGGCTTAACTCTAATACCAACATCATTAATTGCAAATTTAGTAAATCTAAATAAAGGTATTGTGCACATTTTGTTTTCCTGGAAACTAGTACTAAGTCTGCGCTGGAATGTTCCGCTGGTCAGCACACGACAAGATCATGAAATGGGTGGCTAATTGTGTACTTTACAAATATCTTTATGACATATTGTTCACTCAAGCTGTTATGATTAAACCAGCTGGAATTTGAATCGGGGAGTTTTCAAATTTATTCATATTATGACACTATACTTATCTAAGAATAGTCCCCTCTGTGTGTTTTGAAACCTTAACCCATGTATGGCAGAATACTGTTGTCAATATTTTAGTTTCTCATTGATTCTTGGTCCTCTCGTTAATAATTTTTGAGATGTTCGTTTTCGTCTGCATATCGTTTCTTAAAAACAAAATTCAGTTTACTCAATCGTTTTAATCGATTCGGTTACTAAAATAAAGAAGCAATATATGAGAATTTTTAGAAATCCGATGCTATTTTATGTTAGCTCGATAAAGACGCCAGCCTGACACTCATGTAGGGTTGGAGGTCAAGCCTAAGTCACACATAATTACCGTAAAATCCCGAAAGATAACCCACCTAACATCTAAAGCAAATCAGGTGGAAATATGGACTGGCCTAACTTTCGGTGTACGATGCAGAAAATTTTAAAACATTACTATTTTAGGTCATGTTTCTTTCAAGCCTGTTATGGTGGCGAGGGGCAACGACGTAAAGATAACTGTACTTCCCAGCTAGCAACGTTCGCTTATATTCCACCATAGCTAACTAGCCGCATTTACACCGAGGTCATCATTGACCCCAATACTACTATTACTAGGAGTCGGGGGGCATCGTTCGGTGTTTAAACAAAAAAGCAAATCAAGCCAAAAATAAGGGTGGGCTATCTTTCGGGGGTGGTGCATCTCTCGGAATTTTACGGTATGTTTGTTCAGGAGAGAAGCCTTCTCACTCTCGCGAGCTGCGCTCCTGCGTACCATTAGCGCAATCTGCAAACTTTCACTAATTATATTTCACACACATAATATACAGGGAGTTTTATTTTAACTCGAGCGTATTTATTTATAAGGAAATATAGTATGGGGCGAAGATGGGCTAATCAGTGCATGATCGAAGAAATAAAAACAGCAAAAATGAACACAAGGACGAGAAGACGAAAAACAATTATAGCAGTGACTAACGAGACTGACGTTTTATTTTAGAGCGAAATTGATTGACACAAAAAAGAAGGAAACGGTTTTTAAAAAAACTGTACGGGGCCTTTTTTATCACAGTAACAGTGACGGCCACATAAATGTGTCGGTCGGATTAATAAGATATAATCCACCGCCAGAAGGGTTAATTGATTCAACGCCTATACAAACCTCACGTCCAGATTTCTACACTAAACACAAAAGACAGGTTCAACAAGCAACCTAAATTACTATAGCCGTTTTTCAGTGATGTTTAGACAGTATTTGAATATAACTGCGGAGTAGAGCCATATTCACAAAAATGTAACCCGAGATGTCCCGATCCAGCGTTCCGTAAAGAAAGGGAGTGCTCATGAGCCTAGGTGTTTACACATCTGCCCGCTTGACCAGTCGACGCTTTACACATCCGCCATTGGTGACCTTCTCTTGTCTTACCGAGATGCGTAGCCATTGACGCGGACGTTGACAGGCCTCCACAAAGGCCATTGCTAGGGAGACGAACAAAGGAGAAACTCTCATGGCAATAGCCTTCCCTGCTGTGGTCAATCGATGAATGATTGGTGGAAGAAGGGAAGTGAACGCAACAAGTAGAAGTAAACGCGGAAGGTCGGTCGCCATGCACAGCTGCTGGAAAGCGTCGATATAAATATTTCCACAGGATACTTGAATCGTGTAAACCACACCGACTGCACACGCAACATACATAAAACGGTCTTCTATTTCGCGTAACAAACGTTCTTGTCGTCCTTCTCTTTAATTGCGGAGTATATACAAAGTGTCCCCGATAAGTGGCACCAAACTTTGCAAAAAAAAAAAAAAAAAAGGTGCGCTTAGCGAGAGTGAAATCAACTGTATATCTTGCTGGATAACTTTTTGTTAAAGTGCACCATTTTTTAAGTGCGCCTTGTGTTTTACTTAATTAGAAATATTTAGCAAATTTATAATTTCTCATTTAAGAGCCAAGGTGCAAATTGCTGCCGAATCGTGGAAAGGGTAGAACGTGAGTGGGCACAAGTTCTACCCGCGAGGATGTGTTCGTTGGAGAAAACGGAAGAGAATCGGGATTTTATTTGCTCATCAAAATATAAAGTAATGAACAAAGAAATGCTCCTGCAAAAGAAAAAAAGGAAAAAGCATAACAGGCGCAACGTGTCTTACCGAAAAAGGTCACAGGGACTCTTATGGTATTCCTAAGACGACTCGAAGGCGAAAGCCCAAGCGCCGATGGAAACCTGATGGCGAGCCTCCGAAGACACCACGCTGTTTGACCAAGTACTTTTGGCGCAGTTTTGGCGCGTGTTCGTCGTTTTCGTGTCCTCGACGTGTTTTCACTCAAATACTTTGAAGGTCAACTATAGGATAAGACAATAAGGCTTCCACCTTAATAAAAAAGACAAAAAAGCAGCGCCGTCCTTGATGTTAACATCCTTCTCACGGGGAGATTTATTCAAAATAATGTCACGAAGACCGCGACATAAAGGAATCTCCAGCTTTAACGTTAAACTGACACTGGTTTAAAGCGGCTTTTTTAAAACAGTGTTGGCTGCCTACAGAATGTGCCCAAATACGTCACCACTTGAAGCGGGGCAGCACTCACCTTTTGAACACGTCCGCTCTTGCACTCCGTATTATACACGAGGGAATATTGCGGCAAATTTGCGTAGTGTTTACATTCAATGCGCTTTGCGTTGCTGGCTTGTTTCTGTAGACCAGGGTCTTTCACGTACCCGCACTAGAATACATCAAGGGGAGTCATCTCCGATGACCTAGCAGGCGATGGCACGGCCCCGTACTGCCCGACACACTGTCCTTGCAAGGCTCCGTTGATTCAGGCTCGAGGCTGGCTACAGCTGTGAGCGGGGGCACCGTCGTGCTGAAACAGCACGTGTATGAGGCGTGCCAATGGCAGACTACAGCGAAAATCATCCGCTGCCCCTGCAACGATCTCGTTCACAGAGCGTTTTCCAGATAGCGTCAGGTCACAAAAGACGGGACAAGCGACGCTGTTGTGAAAGATCCCACACCGGACATTAAGGGACCACTGGTACTGATGTCGAGACTACGCCAGCCAGTGGGGATTTGTCTCGCTCCAGTAATGGGCGTTGTGGAGGTTTACTTGGTTGTTACGTGAAAAGCCCGCATCATCTGTTCACAGCACGTTGTTGAAAAGGTCTGGTTCTTTTTAAGATTGGATAGGAATCCGGTTAGCGAAGTTAACTCTTCTTTAGGAGTTACTAGCCTGCAAATTTTGATGCAGCTGAATGTGGTTAAGGTGAAGCTTAGATTCGTTCAAAAACCCGGGGACGGACGAGAGAGCTAAGTTCTTTATTATGGAGATCTGAGTACCACTACATCAGCGCTCACATCACGCACGCTAGCGTACGAATGAGCTGCCTTGTTAATAAAACCCGAGACTCAGGAACACAGAAGGTGACGAACACAACACATGAGACGTTGTGTTGTGTTCGTCCCCTTCTGGGTTCCTGAATTTCGAGTTTTATTACCCTGAATCATCCCCAGCTCGCTTGTTTTTTTAAGTATTATTGCAGCTGCCATGTAAGCCTAAATGTCTGTGTGGAGGACTTTGCTTAAAGCGCGAGGTTTCTTCCGCTTCCTCGTGAAGCTTTCTGTCTGATTCAACGTCTCGTATTTTCTGATTATTGTGGATGGTCGCAGTCTACTGTGCCATGTTCGATGTACCCTGGCAGCCTTTTTCTTATCGCCCCCCTCCCAAAACAAGGACCATATTTGCCTTTTCCTCATTCGAAAAAATATCGTTGGCGCGTTGGAGAACTAATGGACGCCTTGGCACAAGTTGATTGCAACAGGACACAAATCAAATAAATCGCTCGCACGAAGACATGCGCTAACCCACGACGTGCAAGACGGAAATGGAACCGCGACATGCAAGGCCCAGAAACTAAACTATATCTCCCCTCAGTGTGAGCAGGCCTCAAAGCTAAAACAATTATACAATACTAGGGCCGTGAAATAATCTTGGACCCTCCCCATGAGAATGCATTTTTACGATCAGCGAAGAACAACGTTGGCTTTCTTGCGCCAGTTATCGTGGGGAGAACCAGCGCGCGCTCTCTTTGCGCAACCAATGCGCCTATCTCGGGGCCTACGCTAACACGAGGCCCCGTCTCGGACAGCGCAGCAGTGATAAGCCGGTCTTCGTTTCTTCGGAGCACGTCTGAAAGCGCTGCAATCGCAACGCGTGTTCCGCTCAATCGCAACGCGTGTTCCGTTCCGCTCAAAAGCTTTATGTGACGTGCTTTCGGCGGCTAGTGGAGATAGCACGATTGTGACAACGTCAATCTACCACGGCCATCTTGTAAATGATATTCACGTTTAGACAGATGCAGACGCGGACGTTAAAAGGCTATTTTTTTTAGATTCTAGAACCCAGGCAATAGGGTAAGAAAACTGCGTCCGATTTGTTACGATCACCCGGCGCTCCCGGGGTTATGTCCTATATGTTCAGAGAGCTATGTTTTTTGCGTGTCTTTTTTCAGACAGAAGTGGTCGTTGTTGCCTCTGACGACGTGGGCGATTCCTAAAATTGAAAGGATGGTACCAGTGCTTCTATGCTATGTTTCAGGTCTCGCTTTAATCGTGTCACGAAGAGGCGCTTTATCGGATATTGAAAAGAAAAAAAAATCTTGTTCTCTAACTTCAAAATTGATGTGTAGAAAATTGACGTGGAATTGAACCTGGGGTTCAGTTCCACGTCGGGGACACAAGCTCTCAAAATTAACGTTGTTTTCTTAGTTCGTCCGTGGTGTTTTTTTTATGGAGTTAGTTCAGAAATATTACCTAAACCATCTGTTCAAAACCGCATATAAACCCGAAAATTAACGTTGAACGTTAGCAAATGATGCAGTTATGAGACACAAAAAGCATAATAAGAACTATAATTCTAGTCAATAAATATTTTATGCAGTACCAATTTCGTCTGTATCACGGAATTCTGGATTCAGGCTATAATATAAAGTTATATTATTCGACGTCCGAATGTCCGAAAGTGGCGCATATAAATTATTATTTCAATAAATATTTAATCGAATAAAAACTAGACTGTCATTCGTTCCATCAATTTTCTTCGCTGTCCAGAGGATTCGGACGTGTGCTTTTCCGATTTTAAAATTAAATGATGATGCGTAGTATAATACTCAGCCTGAAATCGGTGGAACGACTTAGAGGCCGTTTTCGGTCGACGGCCGCCACCCGCGGCATCTTTTACTTTATGGAGATATGCCCCAGTAAAGTTGTCCAGCGAATTGCTAAGCATAACAGTACTTCAAGAAACCAGTTGACGCGCAAAGTATAGCAAAAACACGATTAAATTGTGGAACACACCAGCGGTGACATTTCTTTGTAAAAACATGCAAAGAACATCCGAACCGGAAGTTTTTCCTGCACCATATCATGGCGGCGCGAAGCGACCCCAATACCATGTATAAAACAGAGTAGAGCGAATATTTCTGTCACTATTCTTGTAGGAGGGTAAAGAGGTGCTGTGTTTGACTATTAAGTACAGCTTTATTGGTGTTTTTACAGATGAATCCGGAAACTTCGAAGTTGCTTTTCCAAAGCTTCTTGAAAGCAGAGGCCTTTCGAGTGAAAAAGTAATCCACATTAAAGAAGGCTTAACGCTTAACTTAGAGAAATGTTCAATACTCTCAGAAAACTTGCTTCTAACAGACCTCAGTGGCAAAGAGCCAGTTGTAACTCCGGTAAGCGTTACATTTTAAACATGCCTTACAATTGAAATAGAGCCGTAAATCTTACCTGCATGGTTTAAAAAAAATAAGAAAAAAAAAAGATGATCGCATTTTGGAGGCGATACACTCCGTGTGGAGAGCCTAAGTAACATACTGCACTTAAGAAGACGCATGCTTAATTGTATTCTTTGTCTTTAAAACACAAGCAAAGATATATAAAAGAATTAGACAGCCTGGATAGGGAAACGACGTAATATATCAATTTACAACGAAGAAACAAAATGTTTGGAGCTATATTTAAGGAGCGAATAGAATTTGTCGTTGGCGCTCGCGGATGCCGCCCCTAGTCCCGTCGTAGACCTGTGCGCCGCCGCGCTGCGCCAACGCCGCCACAGGTTCAGCATGGAACACATGAGCGGCGAAACTGGACGTAGCGCGGCGCTACGCATGACGTACCACCTGGCAATACACGGCGGTATCTGTGTATTCGAGACACATGCACGCAAGAGCCCGTCGCGAGATCGGCACATAGTAAATGGGCCACCATTGGCACCGATCGTAGAGCGACTGGCAGTACGTCGCTTTAAAACGCAATATTTATACCCAAAACGTAAATTAAAGTAGGCTAAAATTAAAACAAATAAAACCGGAACAAACGGCGTCGTGCTACCATTATATCGCTATTAGAGCAATAATGTCGAAGAAAGCATTACCGCAAAACGTGTGTTCACACCACTACCAACGCCGTGTTTGCGTTTCTTATTTACCCAATGAACGTGACATAAAAATTAAAAATTGTTCCAATGAATAATTGTGTTGACTGTATACATATTCATATTAAAATTGATATTCAACGTGTCCAACATCGCTGAGACAACTGGAAGCGTACGGCGGGTCAGTCCTGAAGAAAACATACCGCAGAACGTATAGGAACCCCAGAACGCCGCTACGACGGCATTAAGAGGTCCGAAGAGGCCCAGATGAAACACGAAAGGCTAGCGCAAATCGGTTGTATCAGACGCGACCAGTTTTTATGAGAGTCTTGCGCTTTCGTTCAAAAGTACATGGAGAAGCTTCGTTGACTTTATGCCAAGGAAGTCACACCGAATGCAATAAGTATTAGGGATTATGACCGTGCCATTGAAGTAAGCAGTTACAAAGCGTTATCCCCGAGCATCATAAATACCTTATGCATGAGAGTAAGTACCTACCAACGCAGTTCAAAGTACTAACCCAGCAGAGATATTCCGAAACACACAACACGTTTCTTCGTCTCCCGGCGGCATCGAATGTCTGACTCGACAAACCTGACGAGGCCAAAAGTCTTTCCTGCACAAAGTGCAGCGTCTCGCCATCCTTTCTACACCCCTCGTGTTAACTCCTTCATCGGCAGTGGCAGTAACATTCCGGCAAACTGATTCCCCACCTTGAGCTGAAATCACCAACACCAAACCAATCTCGCTCGGAGTCATACCGCCGCTTCTCGCGGTGTTGTTGTTGTTCGTGGAGACCCGCCTGTTGCTAGTTGAGATGGCGATTTCACAACACCTTCCGTTCCACTCCTGGGAGTTCGAATAACTTCGAAGACGACTATACCGTTCTCACGAGAACGTTTGAGACGCACACAGCCCAAAACCCCAACCGAACCGATCCAACAAACGGTCGGCATATTTGCTTCGCCGCTCGCCGCTAGGCACACCGCGCGCAAACATATGGCCGTCCAGATTGGAGCGGCACCGCGCCCTAAGGTGCGCACGTCACAGTGACGTAGCGACGCCGGCACCGGTTGTCATAGATGCTGCCACTTGCTGCAGCGCGGCGCCCTTTTGCACCCCTCATGCGTTCCCTGCTTTACGCCGGAGTCGTTCTGCGCCGCTCAAATCACCAGAACCCCGACGCCGCCGCTACCCTTTGGGTGTGGAGTGCCGGCTGACCGTGTTTGTCCATGCCGTCACCGGAAGGGAACACTGCGGCGCGCCGCAACCGTTAATTTCTGACCTGCGCACAGGTCTATCACGTGGTGCTTGCGCCCTTCCGGTAGCTTCGTATGTGTGCACTAAAAGTTGTTTTGATTAATCTTCGTTCTTTTGTTGCACTTCAAACGAAGAGTATTAAGCAACCTTGAAAGCCGTATGAAGCCGTCGAAACAGCACAAGCACCACTTGACGAAAGTGTCCAGTCACGTGACAATAGCGACCACTTTTTCGCGGGCTCCCGCTGGCGCCAAGTACATATTCGTTTCGAGTAGCAAATATAGCTCTAAAAAATGTGTTTTGAATTCCCTCATGAATTCGTTTTAGGACATACTTTTTTCATCCCGGTTCGCTTTGCCAAATAGCGTGGAAGGAAAAAGCTAGCTTGACTCAAGTTTGGCGTATTGTCACGGGTGGTGACCAAAAAATAGGAAATAAACAGGAAGAAATAAAGGTTTAATGTGGCGAACTTGTGCCAAAAATAAAAGGGTACAAAAGATAATAACGAAGCGTCGCGGGCGTCGAAGTCGGCGTAGCAGCACAGTCGAACGCTGGGACGAAACTGACTCGACAAGGTCGCGGGCGGCCTCTTATCTAGAATGAGTCATTATCTCGAAGATTCGGCGGGGAACGTTCGAGCGTAGCGCGCTTGGGTCGAGAATGAACACGCACTTTCTAGAACAACAAAAACGATAGAAGTTATGTTCGCAGCAAGAATAAACGAGAACCTTCTGCAAGTCTGCGCGCAGCAATATCAAAGAGCCTAACTTGGGCCGAATAGTGTTTTGCTCCAAGAGGCCAGACAGGGCCAAGGTACTTTGCATGGGCCCTCACTTGCCTGCGGAAAGCCAAAAGTTGATTTTCACTGCTTTACCATAAGAGCGATAATGTAGCATCCAAAGGCCAAATCAGCCAGATGAAAACAAAACCGAAAGCAGTGCAGCGTAAATGTTGTCTCTGTTCTGCGATTGAGGATGAATGATGCAAGTGAACAACTGAATTAAGCAGGCAATAAAGTCGAATTCGGGCACTTTTTTGTTTTGTTTTAGGCGGTTTGGCACCAGAATGCTAGAGTAAGGAGAATAATTATCCTGTTTAGTTCCACTTCCACTATGACATCTCTTGGCTGTAGAGTCCTAAATGACCAGATAAAAATAAAAGTTTGAAACAGGACTGCGCTACAAAGGTCAAATATCTCCTTAGCAATTATAAGTGTCCACATTCTTTCCATCAACTGTACTTCAGCAAGCAACATTGAATGCATGCCATAAAACATACTAATCTAACTTTAATGTTCGTGTACATCAGCTCTATGCGATGAAAAAAATACTTGATGTACCTAAGTTTGTGTTGTGTAGCATACAGTGAATGATTCAGAATCAGGGTTATCTTCGACGAGACACTTCTAATCTCGACTAATGCAACGTTAGTCTAACTAGAAGGAACGCGTGTCACTAGATTCATTTAGATACCAAGAAAACAGTTGATTAAAAAATACAAACGGAAGTCTTCATCGATACCCGAGTACGCAAGTACTTCCAGTAGAATTTTGTTTTAGATATTGCGTTTTTAAACACTAACACATTCAGTCTTTAAGTGTTCAGTTTCCAGTTGTTTCCTCATAGACATTTGTCACTCCTCGCAAAATACAAATTTCAAATATATATAATCCTGAATTGGGGTATGTGAACGTAGTTTCGCAAGAAGTGTTATGTGTATTTTTTTTAGAGCTCAAGTCGGATATGCTAAAACATGAAACAAATAGCAAAAATGGCGGTCGTGCATTTACTATGCCCTATACCAGATTTTCGTCTTCTGCCCAGTGGTTTGCGAGCATGATCCCAGTTGGTCATTATTCATATAGTTTGTTAAAAGTATCAATTGCCTCGATTCCATCGCTCAATGCCAGCCTCTGCTTTTGTTTTTTGGCGTTTTTGCGCTCAGTAAGCCTTTCCGGCTTACTGAGCGCCTTAGTGAATCGCGAGCTAGCTTTTAGCGGCTTAGTAAAGAAATTCGTTGTCAACAAAACGTCACAAGGGCATGTGCCCACAAAACGTACAACGTCGACGAACCGTGTATCTATGAAATGTACGTCCATAAAAAGTTGTCAACGAAACGTATTTCCACAAAACGCGTTTCGAGGAAACGATGGGGATCCTAAAAAATATCTGATTGTCACTGAAGATCGCTTCAGTTAGAGTGTTGCCTCTCGTCAAAAATGCTATCTATAGAAAATGCAAAGATTGCAGGGCATCAATCGTACCGAGAAAGATAATTCATTGGCAGGGAAAAAGCGGAAACTTTCTCCAGGCAATGAAAACCTTAATCGTACAAGTCACAAGAAAGTAGAAGAAACGTCCCCCTCTCCACAATGAGTAGTGTGGTCATTATTCCAAAAACAAAAGAAGTGCCTCGACATCCTTTTTCGTGCGCTTCTTCTGGGCAGAGTGTCGCGGAATCCTAGGACGATCACATAACTGAGATAATTTCTCCTTCGACGCGTAGTGCCTCGGGAAGGCTGATCGTTTTTAATAGTTACGATGAAACTCATAATGATAAAATGACATCCCCTTTGACTGGTGACCCGAAGATTTCTTTGCACAAAGATAAACAAACAGCTAAAAAAGTGTCATTTGTATTTTTTTACATTCTCGCTTGATGGTATGATATACAATAAATGCCTGGATGGAGAGTCTGATCTGGTTCCACATTTTGCGGAGGTGGTTCAGATGTGGATACAAAGTCTGCGGATGCGGATCGGATGCGGATAATCCAATTGTTATCCGCGCAGGGCTCTACGATGATTAACAATGCCTCCGTCCCGCGTTCTTAGCACGCTGTTCCCAGCATTGGCTTGCAGGTTTTCAAATTCAATCTCGCTACAGTCAGGAGCTAATCGTTCTACGTTTTGTCATTCTTAAAGATGTTAGCGTCCTACCTATCTGTGTAAAGCAAGCGACAAGGACAGGACATTGTTGCATAAAATCATAAAAAAATATTGTTTGAAAAAGGGTACGTGAGAAATGAGATATTAGTTTCATTCATCTCAATATAAATATTTCTCTTGTGTTCGTTGTGACTAGAAAATACTGTAAACTTCATTTATTTCGCGGGCTAAATATTTCGCAATTTACTTCAAAGCCTAAGCTTTGGAATATTTCGCGGAATCTAATTTTCGCGACGAGGTGTAATCTGAATATAGCTTCCAATGTGTTTACATTTTACTGGAATTGTTTGCGGGACCTATTTTTCGCGAATCGTAAGCGATTCGTGAAATTCGCGAAAAAAAGGTCTTTGTAAAAACTAAATTGTTTACAATATAACGTTTCTGAAAAATTTGTCATACCTCATTCAGTTCGCGTTGGGTTTTTCAGATGAACGGGAAATATATGGAACGTAACCTGTACCATGACAAAGAGAAAATGGCGGCGGTTGTAGTGAAGGAGGAGAATGGAGCTGTGGAAGTGGTAAGATACTTCTAAGAGTGATTTCAATGGTGCACAACTTTGAACAAGCAGTTTTCTTTATGAAATTGGCCATGAAATTGGTATGCCCAAAAACGACGGATTCTACAAAACAGTTGCCGGCCTTTGCAGCAGTGCCAGAGGCAAAGGCTTTTTTCTCGGCATAACGTGTCAGGTAATCTGTAGGTACGATTATAGAGCGGTTCCATGACGCCGACGCTGGTAAAGGTCCTACTATGTTCATTCTGATCTGCTGAATAGGAGCAATTGGCGGCGCATTCGGTCACAGGGGTCCTGATGAGTTCGTTAAAAGTTTTTTGCGGCGTTTGCACTCAAGATACAATCTTGTGTACTGGAGAATTCTGTTCGGAAGCTTATGCCAGTAGCACTTCTTGCGAATTTATTTAAGAGTCCTGCTGTAACCGAGGTGTCTGGACGTCGGCTTGTCATGGCAGGCTTGGAAGATCTATACTTTCAAACACCGGAAGGAATCACCAAGAACCACGTCCAGTTGCTGTTTCCGAAGTTCTTTTTGTAGAGTACGCCCTGGAGAATGGGTAAGAATAGCAATGCTTTTGAGAAGATACTGGGAACTGTACTCTCTTGTACTCTGAAGTGCTTGATCAGAACGCGCAGTACAACATCGTGTCATTGAAGTTTTAAAATTTCATTGACGTTTACTGCTCCCAGAAATATCTGGTCATCGTCGACGCTGGAGCCGGTAGGAGTTGACTCGAAGGTTGCTCTCCTCTGACTTGTAGTCTATGGTCACCTCGAAATCCTGCGACCGTACTCTCCATTGAGCGAGGCGTCCTAATGGGTATCTAATGTTGGCGAGCGAACACAACGAGTGGCGGTTTTTGACCACTCGGAACGTGTACTAGTACAAGCACTGGCAGAGTTTCGTTATTTACCAGGTAACGGCAAGACATTCCTTCTCAGTCGTCAAGTAAATTCGCTTCGCCTTCAACAGAGCGCGGCCAGCGCAGGCCATCACTCGCTCGGTCCCTCTTGCCGTTGGAGAAGTAACCCGCGGAGTCCTCGTTTCTGCCGTCCGTGTGAACTTTTGTTTTCACAGACTGATGCCAGTGGCAGAGGATCGGGGGCGACTAGAGTCTCCACTTTAGCTCCTAAAATGCCTGTCGTTCTTCTTCGCCCAATTCGAAGTTTAGGGCGTCCTTCATGAGGTGGGTCAGCGGCGAAGAAATTTTCGCGAAATCCCGAACAAAGCGTCTGCCATATAGCACAGATCCCAGAAGTTCTTTACTGCCTTTTCGTCCGATGGGAGCGGAAACGCTTTTACGGCGCCGGTCTTCTTAGGGTAAAGGTGAAAACCTTCGTTGCTCACAATGACCCGGGAACTTCCATTCACAATGAGGGAACCGACACTTCGTCGGCTTGAGGGTGAGTCCGGTGGTACTGATTGCCTGGGTTTTGGATCGTAGACTTCTCAAGTGCTCGCCGAAGTCGCCCGAGTATACCTCGACTTGGTCGAGGTAAACTTCACAACTTCGCCGTTTTATGCCTGCCAGCACGGTATGTATGACACACTGAAATTGTGTTGATGCTGCACAAAGACCAAAACGCCATCCCTTGAACTCGTACACTCCATCGGGCACCTGTGACGAAGGCAATCTTTTTAGTCCCGTTTTTCTACTTCGATATGCTAGTAGACATTGTTTAGGTTCATCGACGAACCGTACCGGAATGGCACAGCCGTTCGAGTGCGTCGGCGATGCGCGGATGGGGGTGGTCGTCCTTCCTCTTCACTACGTTGAGCTGACGGTAGTCAACGCACAACTTGCGCGTGCCGTCTTTCTTTTTAAACAGTATCACTGCAAATGCCACGGGCTGCTTGAAGTCTGGATGAAGATGTCGTTTAGGAATTCCTTAACTTGCTACTGTATGACTTCAATTTTTGAATGAGGCCCGGTACGGCGCTTGATTCACGGGGAGCGTGTCACCAATGGTAACGATGCGAGGCCTCGCAAGCTCTGTCTGGCAAGCCTTCGACGATGTGGCAAGAAGTCACAAAGTAGGCAATGTGGTCTCTCAGCCGTTAGCGAGACGAGAGGAGGGAGCTCCGGGCTAATGTCGAGTTGCGATAGCGGTTTGGTGTCCTGGCGAGATGGCAATGTTTCTACACTAAAGGCGATGACATCGGCGATTTCCCGGAGTTTTCAACCTGACTCAAAGAGGCTCCTCTAGTGAGATGCTGCGTCTCCTCCTGGACGTTTGTAACGTGGATCACAATGCATTCATTCTGTGGTTGTGTTACGCCACTTGCGACGTCCGTTCCTCTTCCTAGAAGCACGTGAACGTTGCCTTCGACATAAACTTCGGCGCTGGTAGTTTTGTCGGTCCCGAAGGGTACGAAAACACTTGAACGTGGCGTCAGGTCCATGCCGTCAGCGATAATTCAGACAGCAGCTGGCGTCGTTCTGGGTTCTTCCGGAGACGTTAGACGGTTCGATCTAAGTTGATGACTGCTCCGTATTCGCGCATAAAGTCCATCCCGAGATTGACGTTTCAAGCGCTGCCTTATAGTACAATGAATTTCAAAGAGCACATCTCATCGTGGATTTCGACTCGTGCAGTGCACCTTCCGACGGGCGTGATCAGGTGTCCTCTGGCGGTTCAAATTTGCGGGCCAACCCACGGCATCGCAACTTTCCCTAGGCGGTGGGAGAGCTTTCCACTCAAAATGGAGTAGTCCACGTTAATCTACACAAGAATTGATGTTTCGTGACCGCCGATGAAAACGTTGAAATCGTTTGGAGTCTTTCCAGAATCGCTGTTCCTTTGCCTAGCGTTTTTAGATTGGGTACCCTTCAACGTTCGTGGAGGTTCGTTGCGTCGCTGGTCTTCGGCCACTCTACCTGCATGGGTCGCCGCGCTTAGTTTCCCAGACGAGAAGCGAGGGGCGAGAGGCTCTCGCAGTGGGGCCTGTGCATCGGCGACTCTGGACGTCGTGGTGACGGCGACCGGGACCCGCCGCGAAGGGAAGACGGTGGAGACTGAGGTCGCCGAAGGTGCTTGTCGATTTCCCGCAGTCGCTCAGGACAGCGTGGGTGTGCGTCCTTCGCGCGAGAGCCGCGCAGCCCTACTTGTCGGAAGGGCAATGGTAGTAGATGTGGTCGATTTCCCTGCAGTGGCAGCATAGCGGTCAACGGTCGGCTGTTTGCCACATGTCGGTCTCTCTCGGTGCAAATGGCTCCGGGCGGGCGTACTGGGCCCGGTTGTGCAGGCGTCGAACGTTTTCTTGCGTCGGGGTGTAACGTCGAGGTGGCGCCGAGTACTGACGCGGCACTACTGGTGGCCTCCTGTCGATTGCGGCATACGTCACCGCCGGCGTTTCTTCAAGTTCTGTTACTGCGTTGATCTGAGAATTCATTTGAACGGGTCGCTAGACTTCTTTTTATAGTACTCAGGCGATGAAGAGGGAAACCGGGCGATTGGCAGCGAGCAGCAATCTTCTGAGCTCCTCCTTGATGATGACGCGGATCATCTCTGGAATGTCGGGAAGGAGGCCAGTTCGGGCGTCAAGGTTATAGGCCACAGGGGTGTAGGGTCGTTGGGCCGTCGTTAGGAGTGGGTAGCTCGCGCTTGGAGAGCCCGCTCGATGTGTGTGGCTCTCTCGCGAATGCCTCGACGATGTCAGGCGGGTTTCGCACGAGGCCCTCTAAGATGGTTTTCTTTACTCCTCACTAGAGAATGTTGAGCTTCTTTGCTCCTTTCTCTTGAGGATCCGCGCGTTTGAATAGTGGGAGGACGCCTTCGACGAAACTGAAAACGCTTTCATTTGGTTCTTGAATTCCCACCTGGAGTAGCTCTTTGGCGCATTTCCAACGCTGCTGGCTCGCAAAGACGTGGCGTAGCTGCTCTTTGCACGTTCCCAGGAGGTGAGTGACGGTTCTTTATCTTAGAACTGAAGACGGGCCGTTCCATCCAGAGAGAAGCAATGTTTTGGACGCTTTGATCTGATGTCCATCGGTTGGTCTTTGCCACCCGTCCGTACTGCTGTAGCCAGTCGTAAATGTCTTCGTGAACTTCGTCGCGGAAGAGTTTCGGCGTGCGAGGCACGACAGAGAGGAAGACGACTGGGAATGTAGCTGCACGGTTCTCGGTCGGCTGGCTCTGGGGAAACATCTCTGGGTTCGTCGACTTATTTCTTGGTTGTTTCATCAATGGACGTCTGCGTACCATGCACCTCCACCAGGAAGGTCATATATTAAAGAAGATAGACAAGTGTAAAAGGGGAAATAAAGAATTAATCGGCAAACTTCTTCCGTTAACAAATGAAAAGAAAAAAAACAAAACAAGCGTCCAGAAAGTAGCGAGCGTCGGGGCGTGGGCGTGACATCTCACTAGCGCAAGAGCGCGTGAATGAGTCGGCAAGACCACGCTGTGCTCCTTATTTATCACACCCGGTATCTCAAAGATTCGGCCGAGAACGTTCGGACATCGAACGATCAGGAGACTGACTCGGCAATGTGCGTTGGCCTGTTCATCAGACTTGGCATTTTTAATATTTATGTCGTTGATATGAGTGAAATAATACAATCACGTAATATGATATGCCCAAGCATATAGACAAAATTTACACACTGATGGTCCAAATAAAATGCTGCACCGGACATTTCATTGAACGCCAATTTATTGAGTAAGTGGACATCTCCTCGAAAACCGATTGAACGTCGTTTCAACAAATCGCTTGACTGCGTTTCATTAAATTTCGCTTTATTGCATGCAGGAGCTTTACAGTAGTTCTAGATGTTTTACACTTGTTTCTTAAATTTCTATGACAGTGGTCGAATCTCTAAAATTAAAATGGATACTTTGGTTGCTTTTTCACCAATAGCTGAGTGCGACTTACTGTTTTCTGATAAGATTTGCGGTTGTTCTACTCTGCACTCCTTTTTCCCTCTACGTCCCCTCAACTGTTCAGGCATGAAAGGTGTTTCCCGAAAATAGGGTACAGATATTTTTCCCTGCGCTTTTTTAGTTTGTATTAGTACGTTTACTTCTGCTTCCATTCAATTCGGGGAAAAACTTTTTTTTCTAAGGATAGAGGTCAAGAACCTGGTACGTCCACGATTCTGCCGATTACAAAACAGAAACAAAAAGGAGATGCACTTTCTTTTGTGATATAAAGACAGTTATTTTTTTGTTTATGAGCCCTAAAATATTTGGCGCAGGAGAACAGAGTCGCATCATAATCACAAAGCTATGTAGCACCGAATTCATTTCTTTCCTTATTTTGTTTTTAAATTTCAACCACTCTTAAATTTAAGTTGCATTGAAAAAAGTAACACACACACACACACACACACACACACACACGCATATATATATATATATATATATAACCACTAGTTCTGTTATCGGGTGGAGATAAGTGTTCTTAGTTCGAGCTTTGCTGCTCTAACGAAGTACGTTGACGAAGGATAAAAACTTTCACCACAGTTTTAAGAAAAAGGAAATTCCCGACGTTTTAGAACCATATCGATCCCTTGTTTACGGGTGGCCGTCAGGTGGAGAGAAAAAGTGCTGCTGATGTAGGTTGGCTGAGCCTTGCTTTTTTGATGATGTGGCAGAGTCCTGAGACGTACACAGGTCGGAGAGTTACCGAAGACCTGTTAATGTTTTCTTTTGTTGTCTGGATGGAGCAGGATTCATGGTGCAGACGTTTTCGCGAGTGCCGCCCTATGCAGAGGATTTCGATTTTGTTGAAAGACTCGCAGTGACCTGATTTTGCTTCGTGATCGGCGAGGGCACTTACCTTGAACGTAGATTTTTTTAAAGCTGAATGCTGGGCTAGTTTGTATTGGTCTTGGGTTGCCAAAGGCATGGTAGCGCTTTTTTGGACGAGGACAAAAGAAAGAAAGACAAGACAGACACGAGCGCTGACAGCAACTATTTAATCAACATGGAAATGAGGCATATATACACGCTTTGATCCTATCAATCAGCCAACCCCAGGCCTGGCCGCCATTTGCATGAACTGCACCTCCTTATCGAAAAGGTCGATAGATGCAACGCTGACACACCCTAGCCCTGCCCTTTTTATCTCGTCCGCTTTGATAATCTCCCTAACAGTTCTATTTTTACTAGCTAAACATAAAAATAGATCTATTAGGGAGACTATCGAAGCGGACGAGATAAAAAGGGCAGGGCTAGGGTGTGTCAGCGTTGCATCTTTCGACCTTTTCGATAAGGAGGTGCAGTTCATGCAAATGGCGGCCAGGCCTGGGGTTGGCTGATTGATAGGATCGAAGCGTGTATATATGTTGATTAAATAGTTGCTGTCAGCGCTCGTGTCTGTCTTTCTTTCTTTTGTCCTCGTCTAAAAAAGCGCTACCATGCCTTTGGCAACCCAAGAGATTTTTTCACATCGTATTTCTGGCGGTTCCAGGAAATATTTGGTTTCCTTCCTGTAGGGCAGGCCCGTCCCCGTACGGGATGCGGTAGACGAGGCCTTGAGACATCTCCTTTGCCTGTCTCTTCTTTGGGGAAATGGAGTCGGTGACGGATGGTGGAAACCGGCTCGTGAGTCACCGCGATCCCATGTTTACAAAGGACACACGCAATGGTTTCCCTGACGTATCTTGCTTACGACAGGCAGACACGGCTGGAGTGAGCCGGGAGCTTGCACATATGGGGCGGCGTAGCTTCTTGTGGATCCTGTGGATGAAACGTTTCGAGTAGATGTTGCTTTCTAGAACTATAGTTTTATAGACAGTTCTTCGAGTCTTAGACCAGAAAAAAAAAACACGCGATGGCTCGTTCGTGCTAACAGCGTCATGGATTGGAAGTCTAACCGCAGAAAGGAAGCCGGAAAGCTATATCTTTCAGTTCATTGTACATCACAAGTTAGTGAGGACTGCTAATAACGTTTGTATAGATATCGATATGGCAAACATGGCTTGTTCAGTTCACAGGTTGTTTAAATGCACTTCCCGGCACGATTCTTCCTCTAGCCACTAGTTGAAATTCGTGAATGCCCTACGTATGTTGCTAGAAGAGAAAGCTCTGCTAACGAATGTATCTGCGCGCGCTTACAAGGAAGTACGTGTTTGAACACCGATCTATCACCCGGCTCTTGTGTGTGCCTTTTTTAAGAGGTTCTATGCGCGATAGACAGCATATGTTATGTAAGTTACGATTTTGTATTTTTCACTATATATCGGTGTTTTAAACAACTGCGCAAATGTATAATAAATAATTAAATAATGTAGAATATTTTCAATATCATTGGGTATTATTCGCCATTAATGGTTTATTTTAGATATTTCTGCTTTAACGAAGTAAATGAAACTCGCTTGATGGATATATTTTGCCTATTTATTTCTTTAATTCTCGAACTCACTATGTAGTTAAAGAAGTCCGCTTTAAGCTTGCAGAGTAACTGGTATTTGAGAGCGTCTGGAACTTCAACCGTAGGGCAAGCGTCAACCTAACACCCGAATGAATGATTCAAAACGTGCGTGTTGGTGAAGAGTTACGAACACTTGAAAGGATAAAACATCTAAGACCGGGACGGAAACAGGATTCTGAAAGAAGTCCTGTTTCCGCCCCCGTCCTAGATGTTTTATCCTTTCAAGTATTGGTACCCTTATGATTATCGCTAAAATGTTACCACCTTCGAAGAAAAACACTTAAATGTATTTTGGTCAATCATAAGGTAGTCTTTTTTGAAAATTCCAATATTTGAGACGCTTTATGAAGCAAAACTAAATATAATATATATTTGCCTAATCCTCTTTCCAGAGCGGTGTGATCAGCGACACTCTGAGGATCCTCCCTCTTCACCTTATGGGTCGAGCTGAAGACGGGTCTATCGCACACAAGATTTTCCAAGTGGATGCACCAGCTCACCGTGCACATGACTACCTTGGTAATGTGACGAATCAATTTTAACACATGTACTGCAGATATCTTGGGGTGCATGTATTAAAATATAAATGTGTTTAACGCGCTTTTTTTTGCAATTTGACATTTTATCGATGAGGTCACTGTCAAGTGTCAAAAAGAATTAAACACCCAGTGAATTATGCGTGAATAAAATAAAATTACCATATCTGCACTAATCTAGTATTTTCACTACTTGGGGTAGTGAAAAGACTTACAACGTACTTCCCTTACGTCGGGCTCTAACTGAAACAATCGACGACATATCGTGACCACAAGCGTCCTATGATTTCTAGCTTCAACTGGACTTCTGAAACACTTCGTGCGATATTTTTTTTAACGATTGTTGAGATGATTGAAACCATTTTGAGCAAGTTCTGGATGTCCCGTAGCAGGGAAGGACCATAAGGCGACGCCACCCAACTATCTTTCTTTTAGTTCTCGAGCAACTATCTTTTCACCTTCCGCGTGTCTAGGAGTCACATACACAGCACACTGGGATTCTGTGGGAGTCTAGTAATGCTTACTACAAGTCTGTTAAGACTCGCTTAAGTCGTTAAGGACAGAAACTTTAGTACGTTGCCATGAAGCTTCAAGGTAAGTATTAAACGACTGTTAATTTAGGTACGCAGCGAAAACAATTTATATATGTAGTTTAGTAAATAATTATGACCGCACCTAAAAGTGCATGATAAGGTCTCGTTCATGCATTTGCGTTATGCAACACATAATGTTTAGGAAGTTAAAACACACTCAATAAAACTCGCTAAAAAATATGGTAATACTGGTTACAAATATTCCTCGCACTGCTAAGCGCTCTATTTAAAACAACTCTAGCCTCTAGTATGATAGAGTAGGTCGACCCACTAAAATTAATATATATTTCACATACTAAGCACCAGATATATGAGGCAGAAAATGTCCCTTCATGTCCATTCATGTACATTTTGTTGTTTTAAGTATATTCAAGATTTACAAAATATATCACTGCACTGATGTGTTTTGTTGTGTGCGTCCAATTGAATGACAACGTGTGTCTCGAGCATTTAATTGTATGTCTAAATTGTGAAAGCTTTTCAATACAGTCGTTTCGCGAACAGACTCCAGCCTGTGCATAAGAAAGTTAGGTCTCAATGTATGCCACCAAAAAATACCATTATTACTTAATTCATTCATTTAATCATTTTAATGCACAGCTTGTGTATTAGTTAGTAAAGAACGATTTAAACGCAATAAAACATGGGTCAACGATATCAAACTCTGCTACAGCACGGTTATTAAAGCCAGCTTGAATGCGTGACATGAGGCTAGTTTAGATACCTAGAGTCTCATGAAACGTCGCAGAGCTCCAAAAGCTCATCTCGAAACACGAATGTTAAAATATAGCGTTAGATCAGGAAATTCAATCATCCCTTACAGACATTTATGCAACGAAAAAAAAAAAGCTGGGTCGCAGCGCCGAGAGGTCAAAGTACTCTAGCATCGTTTGTCCACGAGTCATTGATACTCGTTGTAAAATGTATAACAAACGTGACGTTCGTAAAACGCGAAATAAACGCTTCTGATCTTTCTCTTTTCTCTTTTTGTTCGGGCGGCCAATACTAATCCAGACAAAATAAAATTCCTTCTTGTTTCGTATTAGCCAAAAAGAGTACCGGAATACACAGGATGACGTACTGCGTACTTTTGTAGATTACGCTGCGCCTATTTTAAATAGAAGACTGGTATACACAATACATTTTGATATGTCGCAAGTGTACAAAAGAGTTAGTCATGAATGGATATTAGGTCCTAAAATTTCGAACACTGTTGGAGTCACTGACAGTCCTCCGACTTATATCGTTCGACATCGGGAGTTACTCAGGGAAAAATAATGGGCTCCCTCTTGATTTGGATATTTATTAGTAACATAATGTATTGTGTAATTAATTATAAACTGCTACTTTTGGCTGGTGATATTACGTTATTCATGAGCCTTCGCACTATTTAAGACTGTAATATACTAGAAAAAGGTGTCTTTAATTCACTAGTGTAAGCTAAATAAATTGCCTCTCAACCTTCAAAGAACAAAGGTGTTACCTTTTTGCCGACGGCGTACTGTTGTTTATTTTACATATATTCGTGACGGGGAAGACCAATACAGCAGGTGTCAATTATAAAATGTTATTGGCGTGTGTGTTGAGAGTGGTTGAACTTTTAGAAACCAAATATCTTTTATCGCGTGCAATGCCTATAAAATGCTATGAATAGTATCTCGATTGATGAAGGATTTATAAAACCCCACTCTTATACGTGCATTTCAATTATTTAGTGAGGTCACTACTTTAATTTACGTCTGTCACATGAAACTCGATATCTAAAGCGCGGGCTACGAGCACAGAAAATCTTCAGAAATATGTTATTCGAATTGTATATGATAGATTCTTTGAGCGTCGCTTTATAACTGTTACTATATATTTAAAACAATTTCCCTTCCACTTTTGTCTCCCAGAAGAACTGTTCGTGACTTTGTATTTCTGCATAAACTTATGAATGGGGCAATTATTGTGCGCAGCCTCTTGGGAAAGTTAATCTTTATTTTCCTTTCCGTGTAGCGAGACATTTTGTTAGCTTTCATGTTAGCTCGCGGTGTCAAACTTCACCACTTCCTCGGATCCTGCCAAGGTATAAAATCACCGTTTCACCTTCCCTGGACATTTCGTTATCAATAGCATTGTCCCGCAGCAGATTGAATGAGCACTTATCTGCCTCTTAATTTGTTTTATTTGTTGCTTGGTAAAAGTCCATTCTTTTTTTAATGTTTTTTTTTCTCTATTACCTGTTGACGATGGTGCCAAAGTGAAGACCATATTGGTTGTTTTTGGACACCTAAATAAGAATATTATTATAATATTATGATATTTTTTTTTATCTAGTAATATAATATGTGATAATAAATCAGCTTATTTTTCTTCTGATGCGTCTCGCATGTCACCGTAACGTCTAAAAAATGGAGTCTTCATTTTTCCCACGAGAGCTGAGTGCTTCAGCAACATAAATAATTCAGTTTCTTAATAGTGTAGCACGTTTAGAGAAATTATGGCACTCGATTATTTACACCAGTCGAAAAACAAAATCGCCTGTTTGAAATTAAGTACAAAGATTCAGGTTTGTAAGTGCTTAACTAAATTCAGTCTTAGCTACTTTGAGGAAGTTCGTTGGAAAACGATCACCGGGCACCTTTTTGGACGGAGGATGACTGCACGAAAGTACAGTTAGGGGACCCACGCATATATATGTGAGGTCATCTTTTACGAAGATATTCAACATTTAATTTATTCTAGTACAGGAATGACTAGTCTCGGCACAGCTCAGGAAGCCAATGTTGAATATACTAATCAGACTTATTTTGTTTGTATATATTACCATACTGCAAGCCGTAAGACCAAAGTAGGTTTGTAGCTATTTTAGAAAGAACAAGCACAACTAAGTGTAAAAAAGATATAAAAAAACCCACAGATATTTGACTATTTACAGTATTCGTGGTTACCCAGTTCCATTGATCGACATATCAAACCAATATTTTAACCAAGGCAGTATTAAAGCGATACGATGAAAAAAAGAATCATATTTTGTTTAGTTGGGTTTTTGAAGTTTGTATATGCAACATATTTCTGAATGTATACAAAGTAATAACCTCGTAGAAATGTATCCTTATTCTGCTCAACATTATACTGGTACTTATGTGCCGAAGGTTGGCATCGAACTTTATTACGGAGACAAAGTCTGTGGATCGATAGCAATTAAAGATAAATCGGACAGCTTTACTTTGTGTGCGTTCTATTTCGTAAATATTTAGTTGTATGAATAGCTCTCAAACGAGGCTTCTATATTCAATATTTGGAAATATCACTTACTTACTTAGTGTTCATTTTTGCACTGGTCTGGAATATCTGACTTCTGTCTACGTGTCCAAATTTTGTTTTAGCGATTCATTGGAAACATTTTTCATGTGTAAATTCCAGTTCGCATTCGATTAGCGAAAAACACCTGTAGTATATTGCAGGTTAAGAACGTAGGGCGGGGGAAAGGGAGGGGGTGAGAAGGAAGCGGACGCAACGCTGGCGAGGGGAGGGGCATTTCTCCTCCCCTCGTCAGCGTTCCGGCCATTTCCTCCTCTCCCACCTTTCTCTTCCTCGCCTCACCTTCTCGACTCGTCCCACACTATAGGTATTTGCACTTCTCTCAATGTTGTAACGGCGTCTCCCAGCAGTATAGGTAAACAGTGCTGGTACTTTGTTTCGCGTTGTGTTAACATATACACGAGTATTTTTGTAGATTTCCGTTTGCCATTCGTCCCACTGGCCTGTTAACTTCTGTAAACGATCATTTATTTTCTTCCGAGCATCTTATGTCTATATCTCTGAAGATGTATTTCCGTTGTAGTAGAGCCAAACGCGTCACGGCCTTTAAAAAAGTAATAGAACTTAAAACACAGAAGGGGGCGGAGACGAAGTGAACAAACACAAGGCGCCTTGTGTTTGGTCACTTCGTCTTCATTCTTGTTTGTGTTTTTGGCGCTATTACTTTTTAAAGAGTGTGAACCAACTAGCCCTCCTATTCACTTTGATGTCAGAGTCACACAAACTGCAAAATACACTGGACTCACTGTGCCTAAACAAAACGAATTCGAGCTGCGCAGCGCCAAGCTATCGCCATGTCGCGCTATCGCGTGACCTTCGAGCCAGGCAATAAAATAGAGGCTGTTTATCTAAGCAATGTTCCGGACACCCAATGCTTCTCTGGTACTTTCGAACACACCACCGACAGCACCATCGGGAAAAACTTGTAATTTTGATATCCGCTAAACATCTTTGATTCATGTTACTAATATATAAGATTAATAGCAGCGGCCGAAGAACATATCATTCAGGCAGACCTGAAGGAACGGGTAACTTTTCATGCATAGTCATATTCAACTGCACGAACCGTTTTCAACAACCAGATAAAAATATGCAGGTATGAGAGGTGCAAAATACAAATATTCGGATCATTTCAAGAGGAAAAGCTCTTTCGATATGTATTTTGCATCCTTATTGTTAGCGTCACTTTACACCTGAGAAGAGTATAAAGTATAAACCGCATGTAAGCTATTTGGCAAGCGACGAGACAAAGTACGGTGATCCCCTTCGCTGTCGCTCGGTCAGTCGCGTGACAAGGCGAACCGCATGAGAGCAACGGGAGCAAGCGACTAAGGTGATGAACGATTTTTTCTAGAAATCCAAAAACCAAACCCCGCGACGAGCGCAAAAGAGGAATCTCCGTGTCTCGTCGCTGACTCTCGTCCCTCGTCTCGTCGCTCGCTAAATCGCTTACTTGCCCAACAGTAAAAAAAGGCCCAACAGTCAAAATATTTAAGATTAAAATGGCGAACAAATTCCAACCTGCCCTTTGTCTATACACTTCCACAGTGCCCCCCTCGCCCCGCCTTATTAACTCACAAAGCCTGGGTTGACAAAAAACGTTACTAGACCGGGCGTTTTCCAATGCTGTTGTGCAAATACTTAGATTTTGCAAAGCAGATATGTTTGATAACATAAATACATTTGCATTTTCTCCAGTCTCAATTAATAATATAAAAACTGTGTTACTGTGATGCTAAATATTACATGTTACCTCTGTCCGCATAAATGTCGTCGAACATGTTATAAAAAAGTGAATAATGAATACCTGGGTAGTAATGCTCTATCAGATATTGAAACTAAAGCTGGCTGCAAGCTCATTCAATACTGGCATTTTAACCCACGAGCTAGAGACAATGAAACGGAAAGCACAAAGCTCCACACACCTAATCGGATATTTAGTAATTTATAGGCCCGGCCGCCAATTAAAAATTTAATCAGATTAACCCTTCCTTTGCATAATTTTAGTCGATTAATCGTTTTCGTTATTGACGTGAATATTTATGAAATAAAACATTGCATTTTTGCTTAACCTTTGCTGAATGTGTGATAAACAGCGCAAGGAACGATTTTGGACTTTAGATCAACCTTAACGTATAGGTCGAAACAGCCGAAAAGCAGCTATACTCACAGATTATGAATTCCTCCGCAGATTCACAGAGTTTGGTTGATATTCTCCGGCAATAACGAGCTCCTTTGGTTGACATCTTGTAAACCCTGAGATGGGGAACGATAAAAAAATCTCAGGGTTTACAAGATGTCGATTAATTACCAGCTCGCCTGCACTCTCTCGCGGCTTACAATCCTTTGGTTGTTCACAATAGTCCCTGCTGCCCTAAACGGACACTCACGTGGCGTTAAAGTGGCTGGGTCACGTTAGCCTTCTCCCCTTGATTAAAATTACCAGTCTCGCCCGTACTTTAGTGCAATACTTCACGTAAAGTTTGCCTTGCTACTGGTGCACTCGACCACGTCTGCGTATTGAAAGCGTTGAATTTATACTTTTGATGCTTCTCATAATTTAACCGATTAACCAGTTAGGAGAGAATATTAGCGATTACAACAATACTTCATTAATCGGTAGGTTAATTCACCAAGTGCCCAGCCATAGTAATTTGTTGTGAACATCTAAGGTTCATAGTAACAAAATGATTTCCCGACATGTTGCAGAAACAAGTAACATTCAACTGGAAGAGCGATTTAATGGACATAATTTAAGTAAGTTAATTTTATGAAGTAATTAAATGACTTTCCAGGGCTTAGAATGTTACACACTCAATGGAGTCTAAATGTGCTTGAGATATGCTAAATTATACAGTATTATTATCTAAAAAAGCTAAACAATGTAAAGCAATTTTTATGATTGATATGTCCCTAGATATCTGCATGCCGCTGTCCCATCAAAGATGTTAAACGAAGACTTGATTCTTCTTTAATTTCGCGAACACTACTTACAATGCTACCAACTTCGGAACGAAGGTTGTATACAAATGTATGTTGCTTCAAAGTCAATAGTGTTGAGCAGTTTTCGTGTGAAGGAGGGTTATTTAAAGAAGAAGAATTTTGCATAAAAATAAAATATATACGTATGTTTCGAAAAAAAAAGACTTTATACATATATTGCATATCCTGTATATTCGGACTCCTGGCACGTAGATGTCTCAAATAATTTGAGCTTCTACGCATTCACAAACGACTATAGCGCAACCAGTGGATACATTTACCAGGTAACAAATAATAGAAACTATATCCTCGAGCGAAATATTAAGATGAGCACCTAAAACTGCAATCAGCATTGTTTATACATTGATCTTTCGAAACTCAGTGATGCAACCTACCATATTTTACTCTTGCATAAATCGAAGCAGAGACAAGCGTAGCATAAAACAAAAATTGCGGGGTGTTTTTGATTTCCACAGATAAACATACTACTTGGAAATAACTTGTCTGGCCCGAATTAACTATCTGCAGTTCGTGCTTTACGAGTGACAATCGTGTACAAAACATTCAGTACCACTCATTGCAAAGTTCACTTTTACAGGCTCTCCAAGACAAGTACGAGTACAAGTTCCAGACCCATTTTTGGTTGAAATACTGGTTGTCGTCGACAAGTATTTTTACGTAAACTTTGACACCGATGAACAGCTTGTAACATATATGGCCACTGCTATGGCAACGGTATGCACTCTGCGTTTTCATTTATTTTCCAATGTGCGTTCTCATATAAGTTTTCTACCTGACTGCCCAGATAATTGTTCAGAGCAATGAACAGCGTCCTGCAATATCAGCTTGCCCGGCGTTGTTCAGTCCGGGTCTGAACAAAGGTTATGCTGGGTAAAAAACACAGGCGAGCTGGTGAATGGTATCCATAATAACCCTGAGACGAAGGAAAAATAAGAAAATAAAATGAACGGACAGTACAACTTCGTTGTACTGTCCGTTTTTTTATGTTTCCTTCGTCTCAAGGTTATTATGGGTGTCCCTATTATGCTGAACTACCATCCATTATAGTGTCGCAATGTTGAAGTCGGTTTCATAGCTTAGTATGCCGGAGGCACCCCAGAGAGGACTTTGTTTGATTGGGCAAACACTGAATTGGGTCAGCTCACATTGCCGCAGACTGTGCACCGCTCACCACTGTTTAGGCGACGACGGCATAATGTTTGTTTTTTCTCACTTTACTCAGGTAGTATATTGTGAAAACCCAATTAGTATAGATCAGTTCAATTGTTATATCTTATGCATCACAATGGAAGTCTTGATGGGAATTTTTCAATGAAACTAAAAAAGGTAATGACTTGTCAGTACAAAAATGTTGTGATATCCTCATAGCCGATATGACAGCAAAAACTTTAAAAACCTTATTCATTATAATGGGGTTAGAAAAACATAGACAATAAATTGTGTCTGGCAAATTATTATTTCTTTATTTATTACCTTTGTACTGCCAGTACTGGAAACATTTATAGGCGCTTAAAACGCGAGAGTCTAGCTTTAAACAAACCGCCCATGTCTCCGACCTCTGCAGGAGTATGAACCATGGATCGCTTTGGAATAAGAGCAAGGTACTCTGAAGACTCAGGTTATTAACTGGCAAAAATAAATGTGAACACTTTGATTTACTAACCGACCGAAGGTTGTGAAAGTTAAACCGAAAAGGGCAAACACGTTTATCGATTCCTTGGTGCCTTACCACGCGAGACATACTGTGTATACTAAGTATGCGGGTCCAGTGGTCGCTCGTGACTGACCTTTTAAGATAAGCAAAATGACTTATGCTAAATAAATTTTTCTGTTAAATTATTAAATAAAATTGCATAATTAAACCTGCTCTTTTTGTTTAAGGTGAACATCAGATATTCAAACGCAAGGAACCCAAAAGTACAACTGCTCATCGTAAATATAACTAAGGACCCGGTGGGTTTCATTTGATGGTCGTATTTCTTACATTTTAAAGCAGTGTGAGTGAAATCTAATTGCGCCTTCTATTATTTTTAGGGGACAGATTTTCTGCGAAATATTTCAGTTTCAGATCCAAGCAACCCCGATCATCCATTCAAATTCTATACCTCACCTGTCGAAACATTACCCCAGTTTGCTAAGAAATACAGGAACGCCACGTGCGACGCAGCAATGCTCGTCACAGGGTAAGAAAACTAGTAAAATATATATGTTGAAGAAACACATACGAACATATAATATGAACTAGGGTGGCGATGCGGGCTAGTTGCTTTATGCTTAGTAGATTGGACCCAGCCCACAAGAAACGAAGACGAAGAGGGTACACAGGATAAGCGCTTACTTTCAGCTGAAGATTTTATTGAAAATGAACATCGAAGTAAACAACAGCATTCCACACCATCATGACCAATTTAGCATATGTCCAGATGAGAGATCTCTTTGCTATGTAGGACCGATGTTTTTCTTACATATTGCCCAGTCCCGCAATTTTCGATCTTGTGGGTCTCTGAAATTTCCCTAGTCATCTGATCTCCCCCGTTCGAGCAATCCTGACGTGATGGAAGTTGGGCGTGCATTTACAAACTGTACAATGAAGTGGCAAATGAAGATGCCGCTTCATTGTGCAGATTGTGGATGGCAACCCAACTTCCATCACGTCACGATTGCTCGAACGGGGGGAGGTCAGATGACTAGGAAAATTTTAGAAGTTTACACGATCAAAAAAAAGGAACCGGGCGACGTTTGCGCCGGGCATCGGTCCTTCTACATAGTAAAAAGATCAGTTATGTGGACACGTGCTGAGTTGGCCATGATGGTGTGAAATGCTGTTTTTCAGTTCGGCGTTTATTTGGAATAAAAACTTTAGTTGATAGTAACTGCTTGTCCTGTGTTACCCGTTCTACTTTGTCTTCGTTTGCTTTGCGCCGTGCGAAATCTACTAAACGTAATATGATATAGAAACTATATTCTACGTGATTTGAATTACTTCTATAATTATATTTTACAAATAATATAAGAAATAATTAAGATTTTTATAGAACATGTGTTGGACGCAGCAAAATATAGTCTCACATGGTTTCTAGTAAAAAAACTAGATAAATATACTATTATGAATGCAAGAAAGAAATTATGTGGATCATTTGAGTGTAAGTGAAAAGTAGCGCGGAGCAGAATCAATATTTCGTATAAGTTTAAGTTTAACACATGGGAGCTGGCTTGTTTTTTGGACTGAATAGTTCCGGCCACTAGCTTCGCTCTTAATGATCACATCTCAACTAATAATATTTATAATGTCATAAAAGCATAAAACAAGTTCAAACATTTTGAAAATATTCGAAAATGTTTAGACCTTCATTTAGTTTAACACGAAATGTTAATTTAGAGATACGCAAACAACAAACTAATGGGCAGCGAAAATACTAAATATTTGACAAGTTAATATAAATTGCATTTTGAATACTCGGAAAACGTAACAGGTCGATAGATTGTAACGTTTTATCAGCTTAGATTAGACTGCTGGTATTTTTTACATGTTCATACTAAAGCTGCACTTGGAAGAGCAAACTTACAAGCAATTCTTTGAGCCCCCATAAATATAAAGTCCAAATAGAAATAAGTAGCCAGGATATATTTTGTTTGATGGCGCGGGAGATATACCTAATCTCATTGATGAAGCACGCCGCCAGTCCGAACGCATAAGTGGTTTGCTTATTAATCATTTATTGCGCTTGCTTCTCGGTAACTATACACGCTTGATACATTCTAATGTGTGTGCTATTAGCTGGTTGGCAAACTTTGTAACAATTTTTATAATATGAAAAGTGAAATAAAATAAAGACGCATCACTTCCTCGTAAACCTGCGAACTTGCTTTTTAAACGTTAAGATATGTTTGAGAGTAAAAATACATCCATTTGTGCTTTCAATTCGTATGATTCCGAGCTGTCCCCTTATATATATTAGGATGATCTGTAAAAAAAAATATTCGACGGACTTAAGGTTAGAATCAGTCGTGAGCGAAGTTCGATTGCTATAAATATGAATATGAAAAGCCTGTATTGAATCAGTACTGTACCTGTAAGAGTTTGAATGAAGGTATTGTCTGGATAGGAAAATGTTAAACTTTAGTTACAAGCACTTATCGTTACAAGTCTCTTATCAAAAAAAATACTAAAGCTGGTAAAATCTCACCCCAACACAAGGCCAAATTCAATATTGCAGCTTATATTGTCCGGGGTCACGTAAAGTGCGCACAGGAGACCTGAATATAAACTATTTTAAAAAAAAACATCAATCAGAGCAGCATACTGCCAAAACAAAAGAGGGGGAAGTGGGAGCTTTTGTCACACTAAGATCAAGGTTAAAACTGACCTCCTCACGAGGTATCATGGTAATATGACGTTTCTTTGATTTTTGTTTGTTTTTGTTATACCTGCTGTCGCGGAATCTAAATGGTACTCACTAAAAGGACACAAGACAAAATTAAAGGGCGAAGTATCTACGTCATTCCCCATAAAAACTAACCATTAGCCTAACACGCCGAGCAATTTTAATAGTTACCCACGAGAGTGAGTGCAGCTACACCCCGCTAGCGTGAGATCGAAAGAACCCGTTCCAACCTTGTGTCTAACGGCTTGTCTCGGCAGGAGTGGCAACTGAGAGAATTATTACTAATGCTCCAGATTTATGTTAATTCACATTACCATACTGGATTTCGTCGTGTAAAAATAAACCTTCGTAGAGCCCCACGGGCTCGAATTTACAACGATTGTCTACTACTAGGGTCTTCAATTGTCTTCAAAATTTGGGGTGTTTTTTAGGCTTGGGGAGGAGGAGATATTTTTTTATATGTTCGGTTTTTTTTTTGGTGGCAATATTGAGTGTCACACAAACATCGCCGCTTATCAGAGCATAAGTTAAAAAAACAAGTTTAGTGAATGGGATTCATAGACCCCTAGAACATATGCATGTATATCGAACGCTTAAAAAACGTCCTGGCAGCAATAAGAGAAAGAAAATCGACGAAGTCGTGCTTCCCCAAGAAACAGGCAGCCCAGGGGAGAGTTTAGTGGCGCCCTGTTCTGGGTTTACACAAAGCAAAAACTGTAGATCAATGTTTCCTTCCCATGAACTTAGGGTCATTCTCATTCAATGACATTGCACTTGTTTCTCGTTGATTCATTTTGTTGAAACCGTCTCGGTGGCTCATTTTTGTGTTTTGGTTTTATCTCCGTTCACCAAAAACACGGAACTCTGCTCATTACTTTCCTTATTTATAAACCCTAGAATCCATTCAGTTACCTATTTACCAATAAGACCTTACCTACCGAGTTAGTCCGCTCCTATTCTGTTCTACTCAGCTCACATTTTGACTAACTTTTGAATAATCCGGGTGACAATTTGTTTCTGTATCGGGAAATATTATTTTTATATTGAAAAGGAATAACGCAAAAACATACGAATTGCTTTTTGTTATGCATGTAAAAGAGCGTGGCGTTCCTGTACACCAAGAATAAAAAATGCTGCTAACAAAGCTTCATAAACCATAATAAAAATATTGGTCGAAATTGCGCCATACAGCCACTGTGGAAATACATTGCACTGAGTAGGTTATAGAGTATTATTTGATTCAACTGTATTTTTCAATAATGACTATTAGCCTTTGCACAACGGGGACGTTTATATCATTTAGTTAATAAAACTCACCCTTCAATTCAATTTCCAACAGGTTGGAGCTCGCCAACCAAAATGGTGCAGATGTTAATGCCGATGTTAAAGGTTAGTAAAATCAACATTGACTCTTTGTGTACTACGCCATAAAACAATGAAGTGAACATACTGATGAATGAACTCGCCTCTAAAAAAAAACATGTTTGTGTGGCAATTGGCCTTATGTGGTGAAGATGTGCCTGATTATTCACCTTCTTGAAAGACAACGCGCGGTACAAACCGCGCAATTATGACGCTTCGCACAAAACTTACACGCGAAAACCAAAGGCTATGATTGCCCATCTGACCCCCCTAGGAATGATAAATTGTTTTGCAACATGAGTTATTTTTTTAGCGGAAGGCTCTAATGCCATATGAATAGCCGCTCATGTACTTCATGCTAAATTTATAAAAGACACAATTGACGCCACGATTTACAGGACGCTTTCGTTTCCCCGGTAAATTCAGTAGGAAAATCGAGGTCATGTGACATTACATGAGCTACAAACCTCACGTCACGCGACAACGCCGACACTTCCCATCTCCCCTTCATTCCTCCCTTCTACAGTGCCCTCTTACGGAGTAAGCAAGATGAACATTTCCCATCCCATCAACCCAATCAAGTGCTATTGCATCTCCATTTAATTTGACGGAATGTCAAAGTCAGTTTGTAGGAATATCTTTGCTACTATCCATCTCAGAGAACGACGTAACTCACTGGTTTAACAATACGCAGAAATTTATTGATCGCTATCTCCAGCGCCTCGATCCCCAGAGCCCCCCACGCATACGCTGCGACTGCCCTTCGTCTGCAGCGGGCCGCCACTCGCGTGGCCAAATGCACTTGAACCGTAGTAAAGTTGACATTTGAGCTAGTTGGCAGTCTAACAGATTGAGGTATTTAGCGCACAAAGTAGAGAGAAAAAGAACAGGGCAGAAAATAGCGCCACTCACAACACCATGTTTACTACAGGAAAAGAAAGAAAAAGAAGACAACAGAATGATCCACCGCGGACACCTGCACCTACGATCAGCACGGTGAATGATAGTGCCTCGTTCATCTAGGCTCGTGTGGGCCCTTCATTGTCCGTTGAAAGAATTCTCTTTCTTCGTGGACAGCGTCAAGGATTCTACACTTATGCACTTCCTGTCCTCACAGAAAACGTGGAAGGCCACCAGCACCTGCCGGGTCAATTTGTCAATGTTCCTCCCCAAGATGTTTGTCTCGCCGAATGATGGTGGGCATGTGCACTCCATACAATGAAATGGGAGATGTCCCTTCATTGTAGCCTTCAAGGAATGATCATGCTCACGAAGTCAATCAATGAGGCATCTGCTCGTTTGGTCTATGTCGCTCTTGCCACTCAAAATTGGGATGAATTCTCAACTGTATTCAGGGTTGATGTGGAGAAACCATTTTATTCCTTACCACATTACCAGATATTGACGTCGGTGATAATGTGTAAGAATCCAGTGGAGAGCTCGCATTCCGAAGTTCCAGCGGGGTACCCACTACGAGATTTATGGAGCTGTTACATTCCTACCTGATGTCTATGATAGTTGGGTGGCGGGATTGGTGCTATCTGCAGAAGTCGTGAGTATGTATCGGTTCCTGCATTGTACCAGTCCTTAGTGACATCCACATGGGAGGCAGTGGACTGTGCCATAGAAAGTGCGTTTGAAAGCAAAAAAGTGAACATGGACGCCCGCCATGTTGATGACTTTCTGGTAATTCTTGAAGATGGGGAACGTAGGGACATACAAGTGGCAGGTATTAGGCCGACATTTGCTCAGAACGGAGGGAGCCTTCGGTCCACCTTTGAGGTACCCAAAGAAAGGGAACTTGATTTCTTGGACCTTTCCCTCTAATAGTGTGTCACCAAAGTTTGTTGGTCGTACTGCCCACGATCCAAAGAAAATATCCTAGATCATGGTCCGGCCCGCTCACAATACATCAGGAGGGGCATAGTTCTAACGGCTCTGCGTTACAAAGGTCCTGCATTCCTTATATGGCAGCCAGCTTCAGTTGGCAAGCCGAGAGGCTAACAAAAGCTGTCTATTCGTTAGTCCTATTGGCTGATGTGGCAAATGCTCTTGTGAAGAAAATAAAAGGCTCTCAGACGAATCAGACCAGTGTCGAGAAAACAAGGTCAGGACTCAGTGGTAATACCGTACCTGCATGGGATGTCGCACAATGTAAGAAAAACGTTGCAAGCAGCTATGGAGTCAGAGTAAGTTTTTCACTACCGCATGAAAGAGTGAAAGTTGCCCTGAAATGAATGCGCACGCTGAGGGTACCACACAGCACATTGTGCCAAGAAGCATGCAAAATACTTTCTTCTATGTGATAAGGGCTTCATATTGTCACGAATGAAGGTGACGAAAAGCCGAACAGTGAACTGAAAATAAAGATTTAATGGGCGAACTTGTGCCAACCAAAAATAAATAACGAAAGAGCGTCGAGGTAGCAGAAAAGCGGGCGGCGGTTCGGCGGCACTACAGAGCGCTAGCGAAACTGGGACTGACTCGACAAGGTCGCGGGAGCTGCTTATCTACCCTGCGTCACTATCTCGAAAGTTCGGCAAAGAAGGTTCGAGCGTCGCGCGCTCGGGGCGAGGATGAACTGGCACTTTCGAGAATAACAAGGCAGAGGGAAAGTTACGTCTGCTGCGAGAATGACCGGGAATCTTCTAGAAGACCGTGACCAAGCGTTGCCTTCTCGGCTCTGCGGGCGGCATTATCCCCCTTTTAAAAGTGCATCGCCCCGATGCAAAACGAAAGGAAAACGCAAATGGCTAAAACAATTACGGCGAAACAAAACAAACATCCAGTGTCACAATCCTAACGCGCGTAGAACGGCTTGAGTCGAACTACGTGGACGACTTCGGGTCGAGGCAGGCGGCGTCCTGATGGTCGAGTTCCGTCGGGGAGCACCTCGTAGTTCAAGTCCCCAAGGCGGCGGATGACCTTGTAGGGTCCGAAGTAGCGCTTTAACAGTTTCTCGCTGAGGCCGCGGCGGCGAATGGGCGTCCACACCCATACCCTGTCTCCGGGCTGGAACTCCACGTCGCGGCGGCGGAGGTTGTAGCGGCCTGCGTCGACACGTTGCTGGTTCTTTATTCGAAGACGGGCTAGCTGTCGTACTTCTTCTGCTCGTTGGGTGACCAGCTGGGCGTCGTCGGTGCCGTCGTCCGTTGGATCGTGGGGCAGCATGGCGTCGAGCATCGTCGTCACCTTTCTGCCGTGCACCAGCTGAAAGGGTGTAACGCCGGTAGTTTCTTGAATCGCCGTGTTGTACGCAAACGTGACGTAGGGCAGCACTTCATCCCACGTCTTGTGTTCCACGTCCACGTACATAGAAATCATGTCGGCGATGGTCTTGTTTAGTCGCTCCGTCAGCCCGTTGGTCTGCGGGTGGTATGCCGTGGTCCGCCGGTGGTCGGTGTGGCTCAGGCGGAGTATCTCTTGTGTCAGTTGCGCCATGAACGAGGATCCTCGGTCCGTAATCAGGACTTGGGGAGCGCCGTGTCGGAGGACGATAGACTCCACGAAGAATTTGGCTATTTCCACGGCGGTCCCCGACGGGAGTGCTTTTGTCTCGGCGTACCTGGTGAGATAATCAGTTGCCACGATTATCCACCGGTTTCCCTGCGCCGACTGTGGGAAAGGTCCGAGAAGATCCATTCCAACCTGCTGGAATGGTGCAATCGGGGGCGCGATCGGTTGCAGGAGACCTGCCGGCTTCGTCGGTGGTTTCTTGCGTCGTTGGCATTCGTGGCACGAACGGACGTAGAGGTGGACAGTCTTCGGAAGCTTGGGCCAGTAGTATCTTTCTCGGATCCGTGCAAGGGTCCTACTGTAGCCAAGGTGACCAGATGTTGGGTCGTCGTGGCAGGCTTGGAAGATCTCTTCTCGAAGACTGGCAGGAATCACCAGCAGCCACGTCGAGTTGTTGTCCCTGAAGTTTTCTTTATAGAGGATACCTCTCCGGACGGTGAATCTTGGCAGGTCACGTGAGAAGGCTCGGGGAATCGTGCCCCCTCGTCCCTCCAAGTGGTCGATCAATGCACGCAACTCAGGATCGTCCCGCTGGAGCGCTGCCATGCCGTGAATGCTCACCGCGCCAAGAAAGTGGTCGTCGTCGTCGTCGTCGTCTTTGGCACATCCGGTAGCTGACTCGACAGGGGCTCTGGACAGGGAGTCGGCGTCGCTGTGTTTTCGGCCTGACTTGTAGACCACGGTTACGTCGTACTCCTGCAGTCGTAGGCTCCATCGAGCGAGGCGTCCCGATGGGTCCTTCAGGCTCGCTAACCAACACAGCGAATGGTGGTCGGTGACCACCCGAAAAGGAGTTCCTTACAGGTATGGGCGGAATTTCGTGATGGCCCAGACGACGGCCAGACATTCCTTCTCGGTCGTTGAGTAATTGCGTTCCGCGTTCGACAGCGTCCGGCTAGCGTATGCGATCACGCGCTCCGCACCGTCTTGTCGTTGGACCAGTACCGCTCCGAGTCCTGTATTACTGGCGTCCGTGTGGACCTCCGTTTCGGCTGATTGGTCGAAGTGGCCGAGAATCGGTGGTGACTGGAGCCGTCGCTTTAGTTCGTCGAATGCCTGTTGTTGTTCTTCACCCCAGTCGAAGTTCACGGCGTCTTTCGTAAGGTGCGTTAGCGGCGCAGAAAGCTTGGCGAAATCCTGAACGAATCGCCGGTAGTATGCGCAAAGTCCAAGGAATCTTCGGACGGCCTTTTTGTCGGTGGGCGGTGGAAAGGCCGCTACGGCGCGAGTTTTCTCAGGGTCAGGACTTACACCTTCGTTGCTCACAACGTGGCCCAAGAACTTCAGTTCGCCGTAGGCAAACCGGCACTTCGTCGGCTTGAGTGTGAGTCCAGCGATCCTGATTGCCTCTAAAACGGCCCGAAGGCGTCGCAAATGCTCGTCGAAGTTGGCCGAGAATACCACGACGTCATCGAGGTAAACAAGACAGCTCTGCCACTTGAGGCCTGCCAGGACGGTGTCCATGACACGTTGGAACGTTGCCGGCGCCGTGCACAGTCCGAAGGGCATCA